GAAAACAAAATTATTAAAATTTGTAATTTCTCATGAAAAAACTTCTTTACATAGAATAATATTATTGAGTTACATCTTTATTTACAAATTATTTTAAAAAAAAATTATTATTAATAAAAACAAGAAGATGACGTGGCTATTCTGTTTCCAAAAAATTTGTTTTGTGTCAAATATGTTTTTAATAGTGTTAATGATGAGGATATGATAACTTAAATGGGATATATAAAAAGTTAAACCTAAATATACACCTTACTCATTATCTTTCTGTTTTATTTCAAAATTTTAATTAAATAAATTAAAATAACAAAGAAAAAATCATTCTTCATTCTTTTAAACAAGAACTCATACAAAAAATGAAAATAACAATTTTACTTTATGTGATTTTACTTAATGTGTTGAGATAGACTATAAAAGGACAAAATCAATATTGTTTTTTTATTTCTCTTCACACACTATTGAATTAGTTAAAAAAAAGAATTAAAACAATTATAATCTTTACATAATACTTTTAAAAAAGGAATATTTTATTTATCATTCAATTTTTAATAACAACTTCAGTTATTTTTAAATTAATACTCTAAACTTGTAAACATTTTTTGAACTTTTAAATTAATCATTTATCTTTTCGCAAAAGTCAGTGAGACAAATGGTTAATGTTTTCATTGAGTATTGAGAATAAAATAATTTAAAAAGTTACTTTAATTAATTTTTTAAATAATAAAAGAATTAAAATAAAATATTTAGTTTTAATAAAATTTTAATTACAATAAAAAAAAAAAGAATAATTCCAAAGAATAAATTATTAATTTTTTTCAAATTAAAAAATTATTAAAAAACAAACAAAAGAAATAAAAAAACAGTAGTTCTAAAAAAAAGGAAAACAATAAATCAAAATCAAATCAATCAAATTTGCAGTCTTTGAACTTCTATAAAAGATAAGATTTAAATGATTACATATTAACACATTAATCAAAAACAAAAAAATAATATATATAATAACAAACAGAAGTGTCATGAGAATAATTACAATTCTCACCTTTTCTACAAGTACCAGTTGTAAAGAAATATTTGCAAGGTTTTGTTCTAACAATTTATCAACACTTACAAATTGTTTACCTGAAACAGGAATTTCATGAGAAAAATTACAATCATCACCTTTTCTACAAAATCCGTAACGTTGAAAGAATAAACAAGGTTGAGTTCTCCATTTATTTGGATATTTGTCTTGATGAGAATATTCTAATATTAATTGATTTTCTAAAGAATGTGAAAGGATTTGACTTGCTATTGGATTTGGATTCGATTGGGGACGAGTTGTATTTAATACGTATGGAGTAGGTGTAGGAAATTGTTCACTTTCTTCATTATCATCATCATCTAACATCTTATCCATGTTAAAAGAAGGATCAAGTTTCTACAATAATTATTCTTTTGAACTATATTTTTAATATTTTACAATGCCTAAACAAAAGAACTAACTTGTAATGACTCAAAATAACTCTTCTCTTCTTCAGTTGGTATTGCATCTAATTCATCCATTGCAAAACTATTCATCGTTGATGTGTCTTGGCTAGAAAATACTTCAAACATTGAAGAATCATTACTGAATGAAGATAAATCAACAAAATCAAATTTATTCATTGTGAAAAGCCCCTCAACACTGTACTACAAAGTTCTTCTTTTCTTCTTTTTCTTTCGTTTCATTTAGTTTACTATTAATTTTAACTTTTTTATTATCTTTTTTAATTTATTTCTTGACTTTTCTTCTTCTTCCTAATTTCCCGTTTATTTCCATTATTTTTAAGTTATTTTTCTTTTTCCTTCTTCTTTAGTTTTTTTTTTTTTAATTTTTAATTTATTTTTGTTAAACTACTTTTATGATTTGAATTTTTGTAAATATTAAAATAGAACTTCTTCAAAATAAATTAACGAATTATTAATTTTCTAAAAATTAATCCAGTTATTTATTTTAATTGATAATTATTCATTTTCTTTTATTAACTTTTTTCTATTATCTTAACATAAATAACATAATACTGTTATAACTAGCACCATTAATGATGAACTAAACTATGTAAAAACCTTTTCAATACTTATTCTGAAGTCTTTATTTCTTTTTTATAATATTATTTATTAATAAACAAAAAAAAAATTAATTTTTTTGTTACAAAAAAAGGCAATTCATCAAGAAAACTAAATTGTAGAAGATGCTATAGTTTTCTGTTTAGATGTATTAATAATATATGAAATAATTTAATCTTAAAACCAAAAAATTCTTGAACATTAAACTTTTTTAACATTCATCTTTTATCATCATTCTGATTTTTACTTATTTAACATTTGTTTAATTCAAAGTTGATTTTCATATCACTGGTAATGTTTAAAAAAGATATTAGTTTCTATCATTAAAAAAGTTAATTTATGATGAAGTAATTTATATAAATATTTAGTATGTTTACTTGGTTATCATAAATATTAACGATGAAAGGAATAAATTTTTTATACATAAGTAAAATAAAAATTTTATAAATCATTAACAAAAAGTGTTATAATATAAAGTTATATAACGTTTTGTAATTGTCTATTTTTAATAAGTAATAGGTATTTGTCCATTCGTTTACTATAACACATTTCTTTTTCTTTCATTGAAAAAATTATTATTATACTATACAACAACACATTTTGAATATTTTGAATGTACAACTGTCTGTACACTATTATAATGGTATAACTTAAAAGTCTCATATTTATTGGTTTGTTATATAACCTGAGATAACCCTATCAATTATTTTGTTATTTCTAATAACACAAAAAAGACCAAAAGGATGAAATTTCTATTCATTTCTTCTTCTTACTTCCTTTTTTATTTTCTTGACTTGCAGCGGAGTATATTTGTAATAACTTGGGTTGGATATTTTCGTTGTCAGTTTTTATTTCAGGATTTTTAATTGTAAATTCCCAGAACTCTCCATCAGTTGATTTATAATACCCACTTCCCTTAATGTGTGTTGTTGATTGGACATGGTTTTGAAACGTTTCTATAAATGCCTGTTTCATAAATGGTGTGTCTTCTCATTGAGTATGAAAGTTACACTGAATAACAAACTCTATCAAATTCTACATTAAACTGTTCTCTTAAATCAGTACTCAAAACAGCAGATGTATTATTTGTTTCAAAAGAATCAAAGGCATTAGATAATGCAAACCCACAATAAGTTTTACGATATATTATAGGATACTTCTTTTCTTCTGCCATGTTTTATTTTTTAAGATTTTTTTAATTTTTTTCAGAATCCAAAAAAAAAAATTCTTAAAATTCTTGTTTTGTTATATAAAATTATTTCTATTTTTTGTCTTATCAAAGTTATTGTTGTAAGATTGTTATTGTTATATTTCTATAAAACATTATTTTTAATTGAATAAAATGAATTACAGTTTCAAAAATGTTTTGTTAATAAAGTTTTGATGAAAGGTTCATTAAAGAAGTAATACTGTGAATTTGGAGTATAAAACTATTCAGTTAAGAATAATAACAAAAAATATAAAAAATTAGAATTATCAATTTACTTAATAAAAAAAAACTTCATATGTATTTAACAAGATAAAAAATAAATAGAAAGAACATATTTTTTTGTTCTTGACATTACATTAATATAATACATTTAATCTTAATGTTATTTTTTTGTGATAGAAATAAAATTGTGTGACATCCATTATATTTGTTATTGTTGTTTTTTTATTTAATACTTCATATATTTTTCAGTTTTAATTAATTTATTGGTTTAATACATTTTAGTCTAGTAGTCCAAAGATAAAAACTACCATAGTAATTATTTTACATATTTTAAATTTTATAGTTTCAGTGTTTTATTTATTGTAAGTATATATATATATACTCTTAACTTAGTTTTATAGAACTATGATGTCCTACTGTTATTGTAATAAATAACTGTTTTCTTTTCATTCATTTGTTTCAAAGAATTTTAATTATTTATTTATTCAGTTATAATACTATGTCATAGTAATAATCTTCTATTTACAGATTTATTACTTCAATGTTAAATTTATTTTAATAGTTAAAGTATATATTAATAATAGTATTAAAAAACGATTCAATGTAACTCCAATGAATAATACAAAATAATAGTGTATATATTTATTTTTATTAGTTATTAACTTACAACTGGTTATTATTTCATTTATTCTTATATTTTAAATACTCTTATTTATTTCTGAAAATTTTGTTTATTCTTTGTTTATTTCATCAATACACTATCTACTCCTTTGTCAATATTCTAAATATCATTATACTTATTACTTATATTAATTTGTTATATTTATTTAAATATAAACTTTGTATTAGTTATGATAATTATACACTTATTCCTTAAATCTAGCTACAATATAATAGAATTCTTGAAAATAGGTATACTTTTTAGATATTATATTAATATGAACAAAGTCTTAATATGAACAAAGTCTCATATTAGTGAATGTTTTATGAAATGTTTATTTAGTGCTAAAATAGTATTAAATAGAATGTCCAAATTTGAGGAAACTAATATGTTTTATTTCGAATACTTAATTAAATAAAACGAAAATTCTTTTTTTGAATTAACATCATTTTTTGATGATACTGAAAGAATAAAAATAACCAGTCAGATTCTTATAAAGTGTTGATTT